CCCAATAAAAACATTTTGGAGGTACAAAGAAATAAGTAAATATTTCTAGCTTACCTCATTTTCGGAAATGTGGAGAATCTAGAAATTAAAAAGGGGTTCGTTTATCAAGAGGTTGACCAAAATTGCAGTCTTTGATGAAGACTTCTGAACACAAACCAAACGAAAAACTTTACACACCAATGAAAATTTGGAGCCTAAGATTTCGGCCACAGGATTTATTTCTGCACCCGGGTGCGCTGATTGGAAGATCTCTGACCTTAAGTTTGTCCCGTTTCCCACATGCTCCATGCGATTGGTTGTCCTCTTGTCCGACATCGTGCATCACTGCACCATGAACTGCAAATCACCTCCTGTTTCAAGGTTAAGGCTGACCAAAATGTGCGCGAACATAAGGTTGTCTGCTTTCCGTGTACTTGTGAATATAGAAAATCAGCAAGTTGGGGCAGTAATCTGGTTAATCTTGTCCGTTGGTAGTCTTTTATGTTTTCCAAAGGAGTGTTGATTTAAATTCTATGCCAGCACACTGAAGATCTCAACTAAATCTAAGCATAGTCCCCATGTAACAAAAGGAATAAGGCGTGGATTAGCATTTTAAAGAAAAGTACGCACGAGTGTCTGAAGTGCACACCACACAAAGTGGAAATAAAAAACAATCCTAGTTTTTTTTCGCGCAGGGAGCTAAATTAAGACAAGTAGTTTATTAAAATGCATACCTTTTTAATCTTTTAGGATTCCAGTATACTTCTTTACAACGATTTTAGTGCTCCTTAACTACGGGCTCGGCTGTGCATTCCAACTCCATATCTCCATATTAAAAATAAACGGGGTATACTTTACATTTTTCATTACAGAGGAGCGGGGCAAAATAAATGAAATCATTGTATCTAAAACCTTGTAGAGGTAATAATTAGTACAGTATGTCGAGGACTGCAGGAAAATGTCTAAGTTGGTAGAAGACTTATAATCACTCGCGAGCCAAACAAACCGCATTTGCAAAAAATAATGAACAGTCATAGGCAAATTTACTGCTTAAAAGAAATCTAAAAAGTAGTACTTTTTTGCTAAGGAAAGTACAATTTGGTTAATCATAACCAAATACCGGAGACGCAAAGAAAAACTATTAATTAGAACAATAATTTAAATCTTTTCTTAAGTGGAATACATAACCTTATCACTTGCTGCATATAGAAATCATTTTTCATTGTCCAGATATTTAAGACAAATTGCAGTTATTAATTACAATTACTTACAGATAAGCCTTTGAATGCCTACATGATGTTGAGGTTTCCAGTGCTGTCAAGCTTTCAACGTTTATATATAAAAATTAAAAAAGGATGTTCTTTATAAGCATTTACTGGAATAAAGTGTGTTTCTGGATTTTAGTTCTTATGAAAATGGCGTGGTGGGCCATATTTAGCAATTCTCTCAAACAGCAAAGCGCATTGTCTAAGCAAAACGTATGCCTACAGCAGAAGTCTGATATTTTTTATTCCTAAGATTAATACAAAAACTTCCTAAAATAGGTTACTTCTTTAAAAAGTACTTTGATAAAATATAAAGCTGAAGAACATCTGTGTATTTTACCTTTTTCCAAGGTCAGGTTCAAATTAAAATGGAGATTTTTTGACATGTTTATTAATTTACCTAAATATAAATTATGTAGTTTGGCTGCGAATAAAAGAACTCTCCTTTCAATTTTTATTGGATTATTTTCCGTCATGGTGAAATGTCATAGGCTCTGTTCTAAGCTTTCGGATGCCATAAAGAGTCACCAAATTTCTATTAATATATATTTCAATAATTGTTCATCTTCTGCCTGTTCTGTGTTTAAATTCCGCCTAAGCAGGAATTATAGCATACAAAAGTATATTTCTAGAACATTTAGATTTCATAAGGTGTGGTTATACATTTACCCTCACGATAATATATGAGCATTTTTGGTAACGTCACAAATACTTGTTGCGGTAAACCAAAATGCGTCAGAACTCTTTTCTTGCTGCATTTCGTGGCAAGATACGTCACAAGATACTTCGTGCAAAAAATTCTTAAAAGTAGAATTTTTCCTTGTTTCTGATAACAAATGCGATTTCTGCAGTTCTGGAAGGGATATGCTTTAAAAAATTTCTTACTTCTTTTGATGTTCTCGCATAGCATT